TTGGCAAAAAAAAAAAGCATATTTTTTTTTTAAAAAAAAAAAAAAAAAAAAAAAAAAAAAAAGTATTTTTTTTTAAAACTTTCTTAATCAAAGATATACAATTTTTTATACAAAAAAAAAAAATTTTTATTGTAAATTGTATAAAGCTTTCTTTAATATTTGAGGAAAAAATGGGGTCACACATTCAAGCATCAAGATTTTTAGATAGTACAATTTTTAAAAGGAATTATATATTTTTTTTAAAATATTAATTATATATATAATGTGTTTGATAGATATAAAAATTATTATATATAATAAATATGAATATTTTTAATTACATACTTATATTAACAATATAAAATTTATAATAGAATAGCTATGTTAATATATTATGCTAATGCTACAATAGATTAAATTTTTGTTAATTTCTATTTTTACAGGTGCTGTATTGTCTTTATTTGCTATGATTATATCGGCGTCTTTTCTTTATATGTTTTCAGAATTTTATACATTATCAATTGAATCAAAAATATTTAATAATAAAATAAGTCTTATTTTATCTCGCTTGTTTCCTTTTAAAGTTGAAAATAATAAAATAAAAAATTTTATAAAGTGTAATATATTCAAAAAAAAAAAAAAAAAATATTTATTTTTTCTTTTTAGAAAACCTTTGAATATAATTTAACGCATATATTACTTCTTACAATATGTATCATTATTCTTAGTCTAAAGTAAAATAAAAAAGAATAAAAAATAAAACAACATATAATAATATATACATTTTCAAGACATAATAATATTTTTTTTTATATATTTTTTTTTTATTTTAATGTTGATTTTTATGAACAAATAAAATTATTCTTTATTATTTTTTCTTTATGTAGACCCGATTATGATTTTCATAATAAGATAAATGTAAAAGAGTCAACAAACAAAAATATTCAAAATAAAGAGGAATATTCACAAGAAAGTGAGGAAAGTGATACTAAAAGAAAAGCACGAGAAAAAAGAAAGTAAAAATAAGTAGGTGAAGAAAAAATATACATAATATATATATATATATATATATATATATATATTAGTTAAATATGTGTTCTAATAAAAAAATGACTTTTTTATTAAAATAAAAAAAAAAAAGTTTATATATATATATATAATAAAATTATAATATAAAAAAACTCATGAAAAGTGTTATTTACAAAAAATTGAAGAAAAACTATAAAATTTATAAATTATATAAATATATATTTTTTTTTTTTTTAAATATATACATTACATAAGCATCAAATTTAAATGAAACTAATATACTCATTATTAATGAAATAAAAAAAAAAAATCAAATCAAAATATATTTTATTCATATTTATAGTTAAAGTACTATATAGGTTGATAATTAAACAAAGTTTTCATATCATTAAATGTGTCGTATATGGTTTCATTTTTCTTTTTTTGAAAATTTTTATGAATATTACTTATTATATAAAAAAACATAGAAACATCTTCAATCATAGGATAAATAGGATAGTTGTGAATATCATTTGTGAATAATAAGTTGCATATATGTTTATTTTCATTTAATTGAGTAATATCATTATTAATGTAATTATTAAAATCATTATTTACTTGATTAAATTCATAATTTTTATACTCATTTGTATTTTGTTTATTTGTTTTGTCAGAATAACTTTGATTTAATTCTTTTTTTTCTTTTTCTTCTTCATTCATTTCTTTGTTTTCATTTTTTATATTTTCAAATATACTTCTGTAATTTTCTAGATTTTCATTAATCATTTTGATAGTGTCTTTTCTATATATCATAGGTTTGTATTCATAATAACCACAATAAATAATTCCTTCATTTATCAATAAATCATTTAAAGAATTTATGAAAAAATCTTTTTTTTCATCATTATTTTCATTTTTTAAGTCATTACTGTAATCAACTTGTTGTTTTTCTTTTAACTCTTCATCATTTAAAAAAATCTTTATTTTTTCCAATATTTTTTCATCACACATATCTTTCAGTGGTATAGATGAGTAGGCAGAATTGTTTCTATTTTTATTTTTATTAACAAATAATATTAACACATCTAATAGTAAAATAAAATTTGATGGCTTCTGAGATTTTGTATTATGTATTTTATTCTCATTATGTTGATTTTTATATATATTAGAATTATCCGAATTATTCGAATTAATTTTTATATCCTTTTCAATTTCTAAATAAGTAAAGTAAGTTAAAAAGAAACCAGGGGGGCAAGAACCACTACCATAATCTAATTGTAAAATATGAACACAAAAATAAGAGTTATCATCTCCTATTTCATTTTCTTCTGATTTTTTTTGTTTATGTATATAAAAAGAAAGTCCACTTTTACCTATCAGTGAAAAGGTACTTAAAACTATTAATCTATTAGTTTTTATTTGCACTTTTTTTTTTTTTTTAGAATTCTTATAATTTTTTTTTTTTAAAATGTACTTTTTCATTTCATTAAAGTTCATATTAGATCCAGATGAAATCAAAAATTTAGTTCTAATCTTGTATCCATTATCTAATATTACTTCTTTTATTTGTAAAGTATCTCCTTTTTTTTCTCCTTTTTTGTTAATATAAAATTCATCATATAATATATTTTGAATTTTTCTATTAATCATATATATGGAATTATTTAGACAGGAAATTCTTGATAATGCATATACAATGTCATTTAATCCATAACATGGATAAATAAAAGCATTCTCAAAAAGATTTTGTAATTTAAATTTATTTAGAGAATTTATTAAAATGTGAAAACGTTGCAAAAACTCCTTTTTATTCATAAAATATTTTTTTTCTTTTGTATAACCATTTAAATAATAATTTGAAATATTTATATTTTTATTATATTCTAATGATAAATCAAATAAACCTATTCCATATATTATATAATCTGTTATTTTATCAGTAATATTAAATGTTTTTAAATATTCTAAAATATTAATGTTTTCACTTTCTTCTTCATCTATTATATTATTATTTTCATCTTTTTCATTTTTCTCTTTTTCGTTGATTTTATCAGATGATATATTTTTTTCTTCATTTAAGAAATTTTCATTATTTTTTAAAATTTCTTTTCTTGTATTTGTTTTTTTTAAAAATGAGTAGTTAGATAAGTTAGAGAAGGTATAATTTTTATCATAAGAAATATGTTTATAAATAAAGTTCATAATCATTCTTTTTTCATTAAGATTTAAATTAGAGTCTAGAAAAACTTGTGATTTATTCAAAGGTATTTTTAGTGTAATTAAATCATCTTTATCCTCATTAGTTTTAGTGCAAATATTATTGGTATGTTTGCCAACTGTATCATTGATTTTATTAATATTTTTCTCTGCTTCATTTCCAATGTTTATTTCATTTTCGTTTTTTTCAATTATTCCTTCTGATTTTTTATTTTCCCCTTTTTGATCATTCATACAACTATTTTTGATTTTATCTAATGTAAATACTTTATCATTTATATGGTCTTTTTCTTCATCATTTTTTGTATTCGTTTCAATTTGACTACTTTTTCTATAAGTTAAATAAAAATTTTGTATGCCTATAAAGCTTATATAAATGTGAGCATTTAAAATGACTAATAAATTAACTATATTACTTTCATTGTATATTATTTTTGGATTTAAATCAATATTAAATTTATTACTATTTAATTGAAAATAATTCACAATTATTTCTTTAAGGAGTTCTTTTTTTCTTTTGTTTAAATTTGAAAAAGGTATATATTCTTCGTAAAAATTCTCTAAATTTTTCTTTTCATATTCAAACTGATTAAAATTTAATGAACAGTTTACATCACCATAATAGTTATTTTTATCAATATTTATTACTTTATAATTATTAATAGAAAAATAAACTGATAACAATGTGTTCAGCAAACCTGTTCCACATATTAATATATCACAATTAAAAATATTACTTTTTTTATTATCCATTAGATTGAAAATATGTTTAAAAAAAAAAATGAATATTAAACAATTTATCACAATAAGATGATCAGCTTTTATTTAACAATGTGCATTATAAAAAAAAAAAAATAAAATAAAATAAAATAAAATAAAATATTTCAATATTATATCTTTTTTTTTATATGTATTTAAATAATTTAATTATAAATTCATTTAAATTATTAATAAAGAAACATAAATATTGCTCATTAAAAAAAATATTTAAAAAAAAAAAAAAAAATTTTTATATTAATTATAAAATATATGTTGGATTATATTCCTTTATATATACTTTTGTTTAAATACTCATAAAAGAAAATATATTTGTGTAATTGAAATAAAAGCATGTTATTTTTTTTTGATTTAGCCTTTTTGAAAAACATTAGAAGAAATTTTATATCATTAAATAGTAAAATATCTATGAAAATATAAAAAATTAATTTCATTAAACTTCTAAACTTTTAAGAAAAAAAAAAAAAAAAAATTCTTCAAAAATTATACTTTTTAAGTTTTGGAATTTTGTTATTATTTAAATTCATTTAAATTATTAATTATGTTTTAATTATATAGATTATTATATAAATTAATAATATTTCTACATTTCAAATAAAATTTATAGTTGTTTTAATATCTTATTTTATTATATTTTTTTTTTAATTTTCAAGGTATTTTGTATTCAAAAAGAACATGGCAAACCAACATGAAAAGGAAAACTTACAGATCAAAAAAAAGAAAAAAGTATATTAGAATAGGGGAAACTTTAATTAGAATTCAATAAAATTAAGTCTTTCTTTTTAATTTTTTTTTTTTTTTTTTATATACTTTCTTATAAATTATATAAAATGTTCTATTTGAATACTTAATTATATATATTTTTTTAAAGTGATAATATATTTAAACTAAAATGATTTTCTGAGCACATTTTTATTAAAATTTTCCATTAATTTTTTTAAATATTTCTTTTTTCTTTTTTTTTCTTTTTTCTCTTTTTTTTAATTAGCTTTAAATTAATTTGCTTCAATATTTCATTATTAACACTGTAAAAAAAAAAAAAAAAATAAAAATAAAAAATGTAAAGTTGTAATTAAAAAATATATGTTTAATTACAAAACAATGAAGATAATTATGTAAAAAAATAAAATATCAAATATGATAGGAGGTTAAAAATTGATGAAACTAAAAATATATTTAAAATTTTATTTAGACATAAAATGAAATATTAAGAAAAAGAATGTTTTTTCCTTTTTTTTGCATATTAACTCTTGTGGTAATTTTAAAATAGAAATAGATTTATTATAATTCATAGCTTCATTAATTTTAGACAAGTTATTTTCTTCAATAAAGTTTCCAATTAATGTTATATTTGAGATGCTCTATAAATTATAAAGATAATATATTTTAAACAATTTAAAACTTTCATTTTGTATATCAATAATGTTAATTTCTTTTTTTTACTGTTTCACTAATTATGAGTTTACAAAATATTTCAGTAAATAAATTATCTAAATTAAACATATTATAAGAAACATCGACATTAGTTAAGGAGTGATTTAATAAAAAACTTTCAAAAAGCTAAAATAAAAAAAAAAAAAAAAAAAAAAATGCAAATAGTATTAAAGTATATTTATAATTACTAAATTTTTATTGTATTTATATTACTTTGCTCATTCCTTCACTGGTAAAATTATTACCACTTAAATTCAAAGTACGTAACGATGAGTTCAAATATATAATTATATCTATTATATATTTAATAGAATCATTTTTTAAATTGCAATACTAAAAATAAAAAAATTTAAATTTATAGAATTTTAATATAAAATTCATAATTTTTTTTATATTTAATATATATACATTTTTTTTTCTTTTTTTTAATAATGTAAAATTACTTGAAAACTTAAATTTTTTAAATTATTGTAATTACATAATGAGAAAGATAAATATTTAACGCAATCAAATGTTAAAGGGTTACAGTCTATGGATAAATTTTCTATCTTTAAAAAAAAAATTTTTCACTTATTAGTTACACTTAAAATACTTTTATAATTTATGAAGTTATATAACATATAAGAAGGATAAAAAAAAACAAATTAATAAAAACTAATATTAGTAAACATTTTTTATATTTAAATATACTTTTGAATAGTTATTATCATATAATGATTTAGAAAGAAGTATTATTCCATTTATATCCACATTACTATTGAATATGCTTAAAGAATTTATATTACATTGAGATTTTTTATTAATATCAATATTTTTTTCTTCTTCAATGTCCTTTTTTTTTATTTTAATTTTATTATTATTATTATTATTATTTTTTTCTAAATTAGAATTTTTATTTCTTATATTTTTAGTATTTTTTTTTAATAATTCATTTATTTTTATGTTATCCATGTAAAAACAAATAGCTCTTATTATATTATTTCCGTTTTGTACATTTAGGATATTTATTTTCTTAATTCTCTTTTTAAAAAAAAAAAAAAAAATTTAAACAAATAAATTCTTTTATTATTTAAATTCTTATATGAAATTTCTTAAGGAAAATTCTTTACATCATAATTGGAATCAATCATTGATAAAATTAAAAAGTAAAATGAGTCTATATTTATATCTTCATAAATTGTTAAAACTCCATTGCTGTCTTTATTTTCCTATTGGAAATTATTATAAAAAAAAAAGATATTTTAAAATATGTTTTGTAATTACATTATAATATTTTCATCCATACTTTTATTAAAAATTCATCTATTATATAGGAACTTTTTTTTTTGAATTTTCTTAATAACAAATAATAGCAATCAACAAAATTCTTTAGAAAGAGAAGAAAAAAATACATGTAATTTAAGCATTAGATGAATAATATTTTTTTTTTTTTTTTTTTTAACTTTATAATTTTCATTTGTTTTATTAGAGTTTTCTTTCCCCATTTTATTAAAATATTTTAAAGTTTTTTTTTTAATTTAGAATAAAATATACAATAATTTATGTCTAGAAAATTTTCATATTATATTTTATAGTACAATTTCCTACACATATCATTTTAAAAATATGTATTTTAAAATATTTATTAATTGAAAATGAATGGCTTTTTTAAATTTCTTCAATATAATTTATTATTTCAATTTAAAAATTATTATACGAAAAAAAAAAGAATAAAAAAAAAAAATTTTAATTATACATTTACAGTGTCTTAGATGAGTAATTGTTTACATAATCGCTATATTTAAAATATGCAAATTAATGGATATCTTTTTCTTTTCTTTAGAACAAAAATAAAAATAATTTAATGAAAAAATTAAAATTAGTTAATATTTCTTTTTTTTTCTTTTATTTTATTTTTTTTTATTTAAAACTTAATATAAAAATTTTTCACATTATTTGTATATAAATAGAATTATTATTCAACAAAAATATATATATACTTATTTTTAATTATGAATTTATATTTATTATTAATTTCTAACACTAAAAATAAAGTTTTTAATAATATGTGTAAAAAAAATAAAAATTAGTGAATTCAAATGATAATGCGTTGTTAAATGTATATAAGTACTTTAGCAAACACAAAAAAAAGAAACATAAAAATTTTATATTTTTATTATAATTATATATATATGTATATATTATTAAAATCAACCACAGATAAATACCTTTTTAATTCTTTTATTACAAGATTAAAAAAATACTTATTCATATTTTAAAATAGACATAAAAAAGAAAGTAAAATATTTGTGCACTATACTTTCATAAAATATTTATTTATTATTTGTAAATAATTACATAAAATAACCGTAAGTTTTAAATGTATCTAATAAATTTTTACTATATTTAAGTTTACTTAAAATATATATCCTTAAATTGTGCTTTCTTTTTTATTATCATATATATATTGTAAAATTGAAAGTTATTTTTTGAAATGTAATTTAAATAAAAATATTATAATTAACAAATTACAATATTCACAAATAAAAAAAAGTTTATATTTATGTTTCTTAATAGGTATAACACTTTATAAATAGCTAAATATAAATATAAATTATATTTTTTATAAGGCTATTAAAGAATTATATAGACAATTTTGAATCTTCAACTTGATATAGAATGTTCATAAGAATTTTTTAATGCATGAAAGATATTCAAAAAAAAATGAATGCTCTAAGATATACACACTAAAAAGTGTATACAAAAGTATAAATATATAAAAAAAAAAAAAAAATAAAAATACTTTTTTTTTATAAAGGAAAATGGTCCATTCTTTAATGTTAATATTTACTTAATATTATAGTTTAATATGAATTGTCTTTATGATTTTTTAAGAAATTAAGTTGATGATAACATTTAAGAATAACAGTTGATAGAATTATGGCTAATTTTTATAAATGTTATAGAAAATTATTTTTATAATAAAAAATTATATATAGTGATAACTGAGAAAATGATTTTATGAACATCATGTACTTGTATTATAAAAAAATTCTTTTTGTAAAATACTCTTTTGAATGAATATATATTGTCTGTTAAAAGAATAATTTTAGTAAATTATAAAATAAGGAAATCATTTATATATTAGAAAAAATACTTTTAATTTGTAATTATTATTAAAATTGGAAAATATGATGATTTCTAGTTTTCAAGTTCAATTTCACAAAATAATTGATGACTTAGAAATATAAAAATAATTATTAATTATTATAATTTAAAAATTTTTAAGAGATCTCTTGAATTACTGAATTTTTTTTGATTATTTGAATATTTTAAAATATAAAGAACAGATTATTATTTTTAAATTTTTTATATGTAATAAATTACTAAAGTGTTAAACAAGAATCTCTTTATTTTTTTTGTAATATTTAAATTTCCCATAATAAATTTTTCTTTAAGCTTTAATAAATTCTTGTAATTAAAAATTATATTCTTTCTAAAATTTGTATTCACTTGTTTCATATCACTTATTCAAATGTAATAATTTTTTTTTTTTTTTCATAATTTTAAGTATTCTTTTTAATAATGATTATTCTTGAATTATTGCAAAAATCAATAGCTTATTAATTTATTCTTAGCATTTTTAGTAAGTTCAGTACATATAAAATATTATGTTAACTTAATACATTAATTAAAGATAACCTTTATTTAAATTTGTTTAAAATAATTTAAAAGATAACTTATTTGTAGACATTTATTTAAAATCATCATTTAAAAAAAAAAAACATTTTAATTTTTTCTTTTAATGAATTCGTAAATTAATATATTAGAATTCTATTTTAGAATATTTCTTATTTTAATTAAATCATATTTTTTTACAACTTCCTTTTTTTATTTCATTTTTTTGTATATATACTATTTATTCTTTAATAGTTGTTAAATTATATATAGTACTTTAAATACATAATTGTTATATTTTTACTTTAATAAAAAAGGATATTATAGATATATTTATGGCATTTATTACATTTATATATTCAAGTTTTATTTTATTAGTTATTTATAATGATTCGTCTTATTTTTGTAAACAAATATATTCTGGTTATATTTTATATATGTTTTTTTTATTCACAAATTAATATATACAATATTTTATAAATATTTTTTTGTACACTCTTATTTTACTTTTATAATTAAAAAATAATTGCAACAATATAAATTTGTTTAAAATATATATATGCACACTGTTGTAATTTTTTATATAAAGTATATTATTTATAAATTGTAATATATTACATTTTTCTTGTCATTATAAAAATGACAATTAAAATTGACACAATTTTTATTATTTACTATTTTTCTATTTACTTTTTGTTAAACCTGTTGTTTCTGGGGTTCCCATTTTTATTTTAATCAAAAAATTTTTAATTAAAGCTTAAGATTAGTTGATTTCATGATTATTAGTTTTATAAGAATTATTAATTTCAACATATTATTATTATAAATGATACTGTTGTCATATTGAAATAATTAAATAAGCAGGAAATGTCATCTTTGCAAAAATATTTTTTTATTCAATTTAATTATGTATTATTATTTCTTCTTTGTATATGATTCACATAAAGTAAAAATTTTAATTCATTACTATAAAAAAAAATATAAAGATAGAGTAACACATTACATTTAGTATTTTTAACTCATTTATAATAATTAAATTTTAAGGGGTTTTAAATGTCAAGGAATATAACATAATATGAATATATTAAATGGTATTTCCCTAATTACACAGCTTGTATTCTTAAGGATAAATTTCTATAATTAAAAGAGTGGCCATAGTTAAATTAATGTGTAACATTTTTTACTAGAATTTGTATAATAATGACTTTACAAATTATGGATTTTTTGTAGAAATAATATAGATACAGATTATTCGTATATATTCATTTTTAACAATATGTTGAATATATAATTATGCCAATTAAAGAATAATGTTGACTTACGTAGATGTAAATTTACCCAATAAAACGAAGTTTATTAAAGGTGCTTTAAAAAAATAAAAACTTTATATTACAAAATATTTTATTTCTCCATAATAATATTTAATACCTTAATTTTTATATTTTTTCTATTTATTAAAAACTTTTCATAATAAATTTTAAGAAAAATTTAAAAAAAAAGAATAAGCTAATGTATGAAATATGTATGAATCAGTAAATTTTATTATAAAGTAAAATTGCAAATAGTAAGTTCTATATAAATATGTTAAAATGTATATGATGGTTTAAATATGCTTCTTTTGGTATAGGAAATTATACTAAGAACATATGTTAAGTATTTTTTGAAAGAAAATAAAAATAAAAAATGCTACGTGAAAGATACAATTTAATGAAAATTAAATGATAATTCATAAATATTTATAAAAATTTATATTCTGTCTTATAAAAATATAATAAAAAATATGAGTAACTTTTAAAGTAAAAATAATAGTATTGTTTTTAAATTTTTTCTGTTAAATTTTAAAAAAATTTTTTTTAAAATTGCAAATTTAATATATATTTATATTAGTATTATGAATAATTAAACTTAATGGATATTTAATAAAATAGTTTAACCTTTATATCATCATGTAGTTAGATACTATATAATTTTATCCTTAATATTTAGACTTGAAAGTAAAAACTTTTCCACTGTAAAAAATTTACAAGAATATATTACATTTTTATAAGTTTCATAAATTTAGTTAGTTTTTTTTAAATGTATTTGCATTGATATATATATAATTTAATTTAAAAAAAATACTATAAATACATTTACATCATTTATTATAAATATATAATTTATAAAATATAAATAAATACATGTAAATTTTCTTAAATTTTGTCAGAATAAATGAATTCAAATTTAAATTGCTCAACAGAAAAAAGTATTAACTTTTTATCATTTAAAGATTTTGTAAAATGTATATTAAAAATATATTTTCCTTTCAATTATATAAATTTATGATAAATATATTTTTATGATTTTATTTATTTTTTTTTTTTTTTTTTAGTGTATATTATTATATATTAAAATAATATTCGACATTTATAGCATTTTGCAGTTTATTTTTGCTAGTTTTTTATTATTAACATGCAATATGATATATATAGAAAATGTGTAATTAATATGAAATGCATTTAAAAAAATATATATACTAGGATATTTTTATTATTAACATGCAATATGATATATATAGAAAATATGTAATCAATATGAATTGTATTTATAAAAATTTATTTATACTAAGATAAAAAATTCTTTTATAAAATAAATATATATTTTTGGGACTTGAGAGCGACATCAAAAAAAAAGGTAAAGCGACATCAAAAAAAAAGGTAATGAAGTTCTAGTTGTATGTAGGAATTTGTTTATTTAATAAGTTTCAATAGATTTATAAGATATTATGTGAACTTATAATAAACCATATTATTAAAATTTATCCTTTAAGAATAAGGGATAAGTTTTAATAGGATATTTTGTTAATTATATATAAATACTGTATAATTAAATTAAGTTCAAGGTAGTCTGTTTATTTAAATGCTATGTATGTTTATATGAGGATAATTGTGAAAAAGCATCACAATTAGTAAAATTAAATCTTCTTAATTTTACATTTAATTGGATGCAATAATTTTTTACATAAAATTATAAATATATAGAAAATATAATTTTATGTTAAAAAAAAATAATATAATAAAACATCAATAGTAAATTAACAATAATGTTAATAAAATAATAAATAATAAATATATTATTATTAATACTTACTATATATAGAGAGAAAATAATACTATTTTAGTATTATTATTTTCCGTTATTTATAGATTAAGTATTAATTTAATAATATGTATAGTAACCTGGTTGATCTTGCCAGTAGTCATATGCTTGTCTCAAAGATTAAGCCATGCAAGTGAAAGTATATATATATTTATTATATAGAAACTGCGAACGGCTCATTAAAACAGTTATAATCTACTTGACATTTTTTTTATAAGGATAACTACGGAAAAGCTGTAGCTAATACTTGACCGATTGTTCCTCATCGCCTTTATAGGTAATGAAGAACACGTATTTGTTAAGCCTTATAAGAAAAAAGTTATTAATTTAAGGAATTATAACAAAGAAGCAACACATAATAAAACTCTGTTTTATTTAGTGTGTATCAATCGAGTTTCTGACCTATCAGCTTTTGATGTTAGGGTATTGGCCTAACATGGCTATGACGGGTAACGGGGAATTAGAGTTCGATTCCGGAGAGGGAGCCTGAGAAATAGCTACCACATCTAAGGAAGGCAGCAGGCGCGTAAATTACCCAATTCTAAAGAAGAGAGGTAGTGACAAGAAATAACAATGCAAGGCCAAATTTTGGTTTTGCAATTGGAATGATAGGAATTTAAAAACTTCCTAAAGTAACAATTGGAGGGCAAGTCTGGTGCCAGCAGCCGCGGTAATTCCAGCTCCAATAGCGTATATTAAAATTGTTGCAGTTAAAACGCTCGTAGTTGAATTTCAAAGAATCAATTTTTAAAAAATGCTTTATCGGATGCGTGTTAAATGGCGCTACGGCGCATATTTTTCACAAATCTGATAATATGCGTTTTTTAAAATAAAATAGATTCTTTTTAAAAATTCTTCGTTGCTTTTTAAGTGATGAGAATTTTTGTTACTTTGAGTAAATTAGAGTGTTCAAAGCAAACAGTGTATAACAGGCAACTGTGTTTGAATACTACAGCATGGAATAACAAAATTGAACAAGCTAAAATTTTTGTTCTTTTTTCTTATTTTGGCTTAGTTACGATTAATAGGAGTAGTTTGGGGGCATTCGTATTCAGATGTCAGAGGTGAAATTCTTAGATTTTCTGGAGACGAACAACTGCGAAAGCATTTGCCTAAAATACTTCCATTAATCAAGAACGAAAGTTAAGGGAGTGAAGACGATCAGATACCGTCGTAATCTTAACCATAAACTATGCCGACTAGGTGTTGGATGAAAGTGTTAAAANGGATTGTCTTTTAGCTTGCTTCCTTCAGTACCTTATGAGAAATCAAAGTCTTTGGGTTCTGGGGCGAGTATTCGCGCAAGCGAGAAAGTTAAAAGAATTGACGGAAGGGCACCACCAGGCGTGGAGCTTGCGGCTTAATTTGACTCAACACGGGAAAACTCACTAGTTTAAGACAAGAGTAGGATTGACAGATTAATAGCTCTTTCTTGATTTCTTGGATGGTGATGCATGGCCGTTTTTAGTTCGTGAATATGATTTGTCTGGTTAATTCCGATAACGAACGAGATCTTAACCTGCTAATTAGCGGTAAATACAACATATTCTTAAACAAAGAAGAATATAGATAAAAATTACGAATAAGTGAAAATATTAGGATATTTTTTAATATCCTTTTCCCTTTTCAACTTATTTTGTTTTTTTTATTCTATTTCTTTTTTTGTATAAGAATGTATTTACTTGATTGTAAAGCTTCTTAGAGGGACATTGTGTGTCTAACACAAGGAAGTTTAAGGCAACAACAGGTCTGTGATGTCCTTAGATGAACTAGGCTGCACGCGTGCTACACTGATATATATAACGAGTTATTAAAAATATACGAATGTATATATATTTTATATATATACATTTTGTATAATTTTCCTCCACTGAAAAGTGTAGGTAATCTTTATCAATATATATCGTGATGGGGATAGATTATTGCAATTATTAATCTTGAACGAGGAATGCCTAGTAAGCATGATTCATCAGATTGTGCTGACTACGTCCCTGCCCTTTGTACACACCGCCCGTCGCTCCTACCGATTGAAAGATATGATGAATTGTTTGGACAAGAAGAAATAAAATATATATTTTGTTTTTTTTTGGAAAAACCGTAAATCCTATCTTTTAAAGGAAGGAGAAGTCGTAACAAGGTTTCCGTAGGTGAACCTGCGGAAGGATCATTATTATGAAATGAAGAAATGCGTTAAAATATTACCTAATAAATACTTATATTAATTTTTTATATAAGTATTTATGAAAATAATGGTAATATTTTCTATGGAAAGAGAATTATAATAATCCTAATTACTTAATATAATAAAAATATATATATATAGAAAATATATATATATATATTTATATAATTATATTATATGTTGGTAATAAGGAGTTATTATAATTCTTTTTCGAACAATTATAATATTCAATATTTTACATCTTACTTTTTTTATAATATTATGTTATATAAACTATTTCAAATTGTATATTAAATATAATATATATTTCTATATTATATATGATACGATTTTAAAGGTTATATTATAGCACAATCTTAACGATGGATGTCTTGGTTCCTACAGCGATGAAGGCCGCAGCAAAATGCGATAAGCAATGAAAATTGCAGTGACTGTGAATCATCAGAATGCTGAATGTAAACTACACCAATTCCCCTTAAAGGAATATGGTACTCCTACATTAATTGTATATATACTTCTATTCCTTATAAAATTGCCTAAAAAATGATAGGCAAGAGGAAAACTTAAAAATGTAATGAAAAGGGTAAGTAATTTGCTTATTACTTTTATTATTACATAAAACAACCTTAGCGGAGAAATTACAAAAGAAAGTAGTTGATGCTGAGGTTATATAAACTTTCCTTGAAAAAAACTTTTAAAAATTATTATGCATTATTTATATAGGTAAAATACTATTATTTTATTTATATAGAATGCTTAATAAGATATCTTTATAAGGAAAAAATACTTTTTTATTTATATAATTACGATGTTATCTGAATAAGTTAATTTCGTAAGTATAAAAATTATAAAAGAAAGTATTAACATTAGAAGTATAGAAATAGAT